AAGATTCAGGATTGTGCGGGTGCATCAGTTACGTTGGCTCGCGGTGCTGAAGTCCCAGGAATGGCTTTCTGGCACGATTCAGGATCGTCAAAACGCAACAGTCAAGTTGATCCATGGCGTTGGAATCCAGAGAACAATGTTTTGGCATGGCTCAGGGTCTTCAAACGGTTGTCTTTCAACGAGGCAGTTCCCTCAATGGAAATGAGCCGTTATGGGGCCTATGAAGGGGGAGCTTGGGAGGGTTCATTCCAGCATCGTTGATGACCCTTGGGTTTATACTGGTGTTCCTTCTCCTCCTCCTCCAACTTTTCTCACGTCACCTCATCATTCCGAACCTCCCGCGCGTCCTCCTCCCATCCCCTTCCGTTCCCTGTGCCTTCCCGCCCCTTACTGTTCATGGTCATCGGCGTCGTTCTGCCCGTGCAACTCCTGCAACTCATCCACGTCCACATCTTCCCCCTGCCCCTGCGCCTCCTCCTCGTCCTCCTCCGGTTGTTATCCTCCGCCTTCTCCTCCCCAAATCATGTTCGCCCTCACTTGCCGTACCTTCTTATCCGTTTCATGCCCATCACTCCCCATTTATTCCTGGAAATCTATGTGATACATATATATATATAAACATATGTATGTGTACACAAACAAGTGTGTGCGGGGTCTTCCCTCTCTCTGCTTTTCTGTTCCTGGCTGTGGGAAGTAAGGATCGGAGAAAAACAGCTCAACATACTGAGGATGTGGACCCATGGTGCGGAGAGGCATGGGGGCACAAGAATTCAGAAAGACTGCGCTCCTGTGGGAGATGATAGATCGCACAGCAAGAACGTCAGGAACACGTGCACGACCGTGCAACCACATATTCAGAAGCTTGCACGGGACACCTCCTCCGTCTTCGTACCCCCTTGTGCAGGCAATGCGTCTTCTCTAGCAGGGTGGGCGAGCACCTGTCCTTTCAAACTACCTGCATGTGGGACCCAGTGACTTGCCGCGGGCGGTAACAACCCAACCCTCAATTCTCTGTGCACACTCCCTGTCGCTCCTGGCCTTCTGATGACCACGATAAGGCCAGGAGTAGAACAACTCCGAATGAACACGAGATCAGCCATGCGAACCGAGCCTGCCCGTGAAGAGGCAGAATGGATACATCTGAGGCTGTGGGCAGGGATCCACGCGATCCTTTTTCGTAACAGCGCTCCTGGTGACGGTTCTTGACGCCACTGTGAAGTAGAGGCCATCGCTCTCTACAGCACCAGGTCTGCTCGAATGTATGTACATTTGAACGTGCGCGTGGCAATGCGCAGTCAAACTTCCCGTAACAGCAACAGCATCACCATCACCACCACCACCCCCACCATCATCATCATCATCATCATCATCATCATCATCATCATCATCATCATCATCATCATCATCAGCGGCATCATCATCACCATCATCATCAGCAGCATCATCCTTCGCATCATCATCAGCATCATCATCATCACCATCACCATCACCATCCTCATCATCCTCGTCGTCGTCATCATCAGAATCGTCAGCACCATCATCACCATCACCATCATCAGCATCATTCGGGCCATCAGCATCATCGTCAGCAGCAGCGTAATCAGTAGCATCAGCACGAGCATCAGCATCAGCCTCATCAGCGCCATCATCATCAACAGCAGCAGCATCATCCTCATCATCCTCATCATCACCATCATCGAGAGCGTCAGCGTCAGCACCATTATCATGATCAGCATCATCATCATCACCATCATCATCAACATGATAAGCATCATTATCATCGTCATCAGCAGCATCATCATCGGCATCATCAGCATCATCATAGTCATCATCAGCATTAGCATCAGCATGAGCAGCAGCATAAGCAACAGCATCAGGAACCTGAGCATCAGCAGCACCATCAGCATCCGCATCATCAGCAACATAATCCTAACCAGCATCATCATCAACGGTGTCCTCCTCTCCATCATCATCAGCATCGTCATCATCGTTATCATCATCATTATCAGCATTACCATCACCATCGGCATCATCATTATCAGCATCATCATCATCGCAACCATCATCAGCATACTCCTCATCATCAGCATCATCATCCTCATCATAATCATCAGTATCACCATCGTCGTCATCAGTATCATCATCATTGTCATCATGACGAACACAATCATCATCAGCATCATAATCAGCACCATCATCGTCAACATCCACATCCTCAACCTCCTCCACCCCCTCCTAATCATTATCACCATCGTCATCGACATCGTCATCATCATCAGCAGCATCAGCATCAGCGACAGCAGTATCATTATCATCAGCACCAGCATCATGCTCAGCATCATCATCACCATCATCGCCACCATCGGAAGCGGCAACATAATCATCATCAGCATCATGGCCCTCCTCCTCATCATCCTCCTCCTCCTCATCATCATCATCAACAGCGTCAGCGTCGTCATCATCATCATCATCATCATCATCCTCATCAGCATCAACATCAACATCAGCATCATAATCCTCAGCATCATCATCATCCTCATCATCATCATCATCATCATCATAATCCTCATCATCATCATCATCATCATCATCACCATCATCCCGCATCCTGCTCCTCACATCCCTCCTTGTACCCTTCAGAACTGTGCAAGTTGGACTCAGGAGCCCGTTGCACTGGCAGTGCTCACACTGGCAGCGCTCCGACATGCCGCTTCGCAGGCCCGACGGACCAAAGTCGTGTGAGATGGCACGGCCCAGGTGCCAATCCAGGAGTATGGCGGGAACTGCCTGCCCGCGCCGCAGCAAGTTTCACGACGGGAAATGCTTCGCCGCTCTCCGCCTCCGGCCGTCCAAGGCAGGCCCTGGGGCCAACAAGAAACTATCCAGGAGGAGGGAGGAGGAGGGAGGAGGAGGGAGGAGGAGGAGGACGAGGGAGGAGGAGGAGGAGGAGGAGGAGAAGGAGGAGGAGGAGGAGGAGGAGGAGGAGGGAGGAGGGAGGAGGGAGGAGGAGGAGGAGGAGGAGTCGACGTAGCCTTGGAGGAGGAGGAGGAGGAGGACGAGGAGGAAGAGGAGGAGGAGGGATGAAAAAGCGGCCCCGACCCGACCAAGTGCTGCAGCCAGCACCGGCTCAGCAGGTGACTCGGAGCCCCGCGGCCGACGCATGGACCACGCCGCGCGGAGGCCGCGGGACAGCCGCCCCGCCTCGGCGGGTGCTTCTCGGTTTCAGGGCCACCCGTCGGTCGGAAGGCGTGGGCAGAGACACGAAGTACGAAGGCGTTGAAGAAGAGTTGGCTTCCGCCCGCCCCCAAAAGAATGCGCGGCAAGCGCAACGGGATCTGGAAGTCCAAGACACCTACTCTCAGCGACCGGCATGTACGGAGGAAGAAGAAAAGGGCATCAGCATAAACTGTTGGAGGTCCGCGCGGATTTCTTGGATTTGGGCTGCCCCTCCCTGACGCGCGGAGCGCAGCAGGGGCGGCGCCAGAGGCGCCGCCAGGGGGGCCCAGCGCAGATCCAAACAATCCACTGGTGCGCCACAAGTTCTATGTTTATGGTGCTTTTCTTTTCGACTGTGAACTGTCCGAACGTTCTGAGCAGTTCTGGGCCTCTGCAGGCCTCCGCAGAGGCCTCCCTGGGCACCTCAGGGGGAGATCTCCGAAGGCCTCCGGTCGAAGCGCCAGGGTCTGGCCGTGGGTCGGGGTTGCCAGCGAGAGCCAGCAGGAAGAGGTCATCCAGAGCCGCCGCCATGTCTTGCCATCGCCTGGACGTCCACTCCCCGTGCATTTCTCGACTTCGTGCCTCCTCCTCCTCCTCCTCCTCCTCCTCCTCCTCCTCCTCCTCCTTCCCCCTCCCGTTTGTTCAAGAGCCATGGCACGCGTGCCACTTGTTACTCTTTTTTCGTAAGATGACCCAGCGCAACGTGCTCCGTGCTCCTCGATGGCCCTCGCCGGAGAAGAAACATCGCACGTCCAAGCGATGCCAAGGTGTCGGCTCGCGCTCGAGCTGCCCAGGGGTCCCCCAGCTGGCAGCAGCGCGTCGGCTGCCGAAGCCTGCCTGGACGCAGGCTCCCATGGCGTGCGAGGAAGGCCGAGGACGGCACTCAGACGAGCCTCACGACTGCTCTGGCGGCCGAAGGGTATGATCCGCACCGCCCCACATCTGGCCGACACGAATCGAGACGGCGCGGGGAGAGCCCTTGACGGAGACGGCTGGAACCCTCGAAGTCGTTCCCACGACACCCCAAGACATCTCGATCACCCCTCAGATACCTTCGACATGTCCTCAACTAAATCCCAAGATGTTCCGTAATACAGCCAACAGGTACCTCAGCAGGCACCTGACAGGCCCAAACAAGGTAAACACTTTATGCCTGGTACGCTATGCTCGCTGCCCCTCTTGAGAGACAAATCTGGCATGCAGGTCCTCACATGGCCCATGGGCCGCTGTCATCACGACAGCACTTCGGTGGTTTCCTTGGCCCCCCCGAGGTTGGAAACGATCAAGCTCGCAACGCACTTCAAAACGCGCTGATACCCTGCAAATCTGCGTGCACTCATCCAGGAAGTTGCAACACTGAACCATATACCTTCAAACTAAACAGACACACACACGAAACAAAATGCAAGCGCCCAGGTGAGTAGTCAGAATATGTAGCCCCGTCGCGAACTGCAAACGACTCTATGTTCTTCGGCGTGAGCGAAAGAGGTTATTGTGGAAACGGGTCCTGGATTCCAGGACTTTCCCCAAGACCAACTGTTTCTTCCTGAATCGTCTCCTGACGGCCCCGGGGCCTCGGAAGGGCCCTAGAAGCGCTGCTTTAAAACAGCGAAGCCCAGGACCCATGCTCCATAATCCCGAGCACTGCACCCTTCGGGCTCTGAGAACTGCTCTCGGTTGGGCCGGCGGAGCGGCCAGGGTAGCCACGATAATGAAGGCTGCTCTGCTGGACTGGGCACGGGGGGGGGGGGGCCAGATCGGCCAAACCTCGTCGCTGACGGTCCTCACATCTGGTAGTCGCGGATCTGCTCGCTGAGGGCCTGCTCGGCGGCCGCGCGGGAGTAGCCGCGCTCCTCCAGCCGACCGACGAGCACAACGTGCGCTTATGATGAGCCCCTCGGAGGCTCGCGCGGACTCCCGTGGAGACGGGGCGGAATTGGGCGCGGGCTCGCGTCATGAGCTGGGCCACCATCAAGAATGGGCATGGCAAAAAGCTTCTACGCCAGCGCGCCAGATTGATCCACTGACGGATCCAACTCGTATCAGATCAGATCCTCTCAACGGCACCAATCTCGGTTGAAGTAGCACGATCTCCCCCTCGCCCACGCCCCTTCCCTGGAGCACGGAGCGCGCCAGGGGCGGCGTCCGAGGCGCCACCAGGCCCTGAGATCCGACGTTGCGAGAGACGTGCACCATCGCGAAGCATCACCTCCGGGAGCTCTGGGCCCCCTCTGTCCCTGCGGCACATGTCCGAGCCAGACCGACCTGCGAGGGCCCTGGAGCTGGGCGGACCCACCCGAAAGTTACAGTCACGACGCCGGGATCTCAGCAGGGGGCGGCGGGCGGTGAGAGGAGGGGGGGGGGGTGCGGGCGCCGACCTGGGAGACCCGCGCGGACCTCCGAGAGCGAATGTCTGTGCTGCTCCTCTCGGGGCGGCGTGCGGATCTCGGCTCCTTTCGGGGGTCGGGCTGGCCCGACGAGGCCACCACGGAAACGACGAGGCCCGGTCTGGAACCTGACGCGAGCTCCCGCTGCAGGCATCCCACGAACACTGGACCATCAAAACCCCGGACGCGCCCGTCGAGCAGCGTCAGCAGACCCTGGGGCCTTCTCATCCCAGGACCAGTTCTCTTCATCCCGAGTCGTTTCCTGACGGTCCCACGGGGCCCGTGGAGGGCTCCGAGAGCCCGAGAACGGTGGAAAACCCCCGGGCGCGTCGCCCTCAGGGCCCGTTTCCCCCGTGGCGCTTCTGCCCCGCTCCTCGGCGTAGTTGTCGCGGTGCAGCCGCACCCGCTCCGTGAGGAAGTCGCCGGCCTTGATCGGCGCGTACCTTAAGCAGTGGCGAAGCGTCCTGGCTCGCCTATAGCCCCACCAGACAATGTTCTAAGAACCGTTTGTGGCTTCCACGAAGTGTTCTTGGAACAGTTCTGGCTGCGACTGTCTAGTCCTATCACATCGGGTTCATGTTCGAAGAGCATTGTTTTTGCTCTTAGAACATCTTTGGGTTCTAAGAGGATTTCGTGGTAGGACTATAGGAATGCTGGGACGGTCGGCCCCTGCTCGAGTACCTCGAGGGGCTCTCTGGGGAGACGCAGGACGGCAGGGGCTCCACCTCGGCGTCGGCCTTGAACACCACCGAATGGCCGACGATGCTCAGGCGCTCCGCCGCGTCGTTGCCGACACGGTGGACCGAGGCGCGCCACCGGCCGTTCGTCCACCTCTGGCGGCAAGCAGAAGGGGACAGGGGGGAGGGGGGGGGTAAGGCTTCTCAGAAGCTTTCCCTCCTCCCCCTACCCCCTTCTCCGCGTGGTCCGCGTGGCCGACACCTGGAGAGCAGGGCACCGACGTTCAGGACGATCGACTCTTCGACCAGGGGCACGTCAACCTTGGCGGCGAGATGCGGGGGGGGGCCCCCCAAGATGGCAGGGAGGACTTCTCTGGAGGGCCCTGCCCCTCCCTGGAAGCTACCGAGAAGGCAGCTCTTGCTGCACAAAAAAGGGCTGTCCCAGAGGCGGGGCGCCCTCCGAGAAGGCCGACACCCTCGCCTTGCCCCCGCGCCGATCCGTTTCGCTCCAGACCAAAGCCCTGAACCTCTCCTGGACACCGCCCTGGCCAGTTTGTCGGCTCTCAGATCCGGGCGCTGCCATTGCTTTACCCGGGCGACTGTGCATCATTCTGGGCACGGGGACCACCACAGATCGATCCAGCTCGGAAAATGCCTCAGAAAGATTGGGCCTCGGGCTGGGGCTCTGGTCGCTATACGTCGTGATGCTGCTTTGGTTCGCACCGTCGGATCCCAGGGGAGCTGCACCCAGCTGCGGCCACGATACGCGCCGGGAGGCATGATGATCGCCAAAAGGCATCCGACTGCCCAGGTACGCCCTCCGCTCTTGCAGGCCTCCGACGCCGGGTGCTTCTTCAGCGCGGGCCCTGGGCATCCCCCGCGGTGCAGTCCAGCCGGAATTCCAAGGAGCATCCGGCCGTGGCGGCGAGGGCTCTCCAGGACGAGCAGCGGCACCCTGGGAGCCGACGATCTTGGAGGAACACAGCACTGCGAGGAACCACCACCAGAGCCCTGCGCCGCACCCGCTCTGCTGCATCCTCCGAGCCAGATCGACGTGCGAGGGTCCCAAGGGCGGAATAGAGTAAGCCTGCCCGTTATGACGAGCATCGCGACGCCAGGATCTTCGGGTAAAGGTCAGAGTGAGGGGGCAGAACCGAACGGTCATTCACTGTCCCTGGGTGCGTGGCTGAAGTGGAACTCCGCGATGCGGATTACTGTTGTTGTTGGTGGTTGTTGGCTGTTGGTTGTTGGTTGCTGTTGTCGTCGTCCCACCCGCGACCCGCCCCGCGACCCGCCCCGCGACCCACACGCGACCCACCCGCGACCCACCCGCGACCCACCCGCGACACACCCGCGACCCACCCCGCGACCCGCCCGAGACCCACCCCGCGACCCACCGGCGACCCACCCGCGACCCACCCCGAGACCCACTCCGCGACCCACCCGCGACCCACCCGCGACGCACCCGCAACCCACCCGCGACCCACCCCGCGATCCACCCAAAATTTTCAGCGCCTGCGGCGGGTTTGTTTTGCATTCGTTCCAGGTCGTTCCAGGTGGAGAACCTGCGACCCATCCGCGACCCAAACCGCGTTCAGTGTACACATCAAAATTTTCGGCGCCTGCGGCGGGCTGTTTTTGAATTCCCTCCAGGTGGAGGTGGAGAGCCCGCGACTCACCCGCGACCCAAACTACGTTCACTGAACAAGCCAAAACTTCGGCGCCTGCGGCGGGTTTCTTTTGCATCGGCGACCCACCCGCGACCCACCTGCGACCCACCCCGAGACCCACCCGCGACCCACCCGCGACCCACCCGCGACCCACCCGCGACCCACCCGCGACCCATCGCGACCCACCCGGGACCCACCCGCGACCCACCCCGCGACCCACCCAAAATGTTCGGCGCCTGCGGCGAACTTCTTTTGCATTCGTTCCAGGCTTCTTTTGCACTCGTGCGGGCCACGAGGTCCGCCGGCTCGACGCCCGCGTCGCCCGCGCCCGCCCCCTCACTTTTATGCGCAATTGCGGGGTGCTACGTACCTCCTCCTCCTCCTCCTCCTCCTCCTCCTCCTCCTCCTCCTCCTCCTCCTCCTCCTCTGACCGTCCTCGCCCTGCCGCCCCGTTCTGCGCGCTGCCCAGCAGCCCACTCCCCGTCGTGCAGCTGCACCTGGGTGCCCCACTGGGCGGCCTCGTCCCGGACGAGCACGGTCATGCCCCCGCTGTCGACGTGCGCCCCGTACCTGGGTAGCTCCTGCTCCTCCTCCTCCTCCTCCTCCTCCTGCTGCGCACTAGCGCCCTGTCGTCTCGCGAAGGCCGTGGGATGAGAGAGCCCTCTCTCCGTGCGCTCCTCGCTTCCTCCTCGCTAAGGATGTCTGCTGGGGTGACGGCGTGAGCTGGGGTGTCAGATTCCTCCTTCTACCCTCTCCTCTCCTACTCTACCTCAGCCTCCTCCCTCCTTCCCCCCCACGGCTTCCCTCCTCCTATCTGCCTTCCTACCTAATATGCTCTTCCTCCTCTGCTCCTGCTCTCCATCCTTCCTCCTCCCTCTCCTCCTCCTCCTCTCATCTCCTTCTCTCCTTCTCACTCCCTCCTTCCCTCTCCTCCTTCTCCTCTCCGGCCCCCCTTCACGCCGCCCGCCTCTCGCCTCCATCCTCCTCCTACCTCCTCATCCCTCCTTTGCGCTGCTCATCCACTACATCCGCCTCCCTCCTCCTGCCTCCTCCTCGCTCCGCCTCCGCCCTCCGCCGCTCCGCCTCGCCTGCCGCCTCGCCTCCGCCTCCGCCTCGCCTTCCGACCCTCCGCCCCCGCCTCCGCCTCCGCCTCCTCCCTCCTTCTCTCCCTCCTCTCCTCCGTCCGCCTCCTCATCACCCTCCTCCTCCTGATGCGCAGCCTCGCATGCGTTTTATCCTAATCTCTTCTGCTCCTCCATCCTGCATCGCTAGTTCCTACCTTCTTGCTCCTGCGTTCCTCCTCTCCTCCTGCCCTCCTCCTCTCTCTCCTCACCCCCATCTCTTCCTCCTCCACCTCCTCCTCCTCCCTCCTACCCTCCTCCTCCTCATCCTCTTCCTCCTCCTTCTCCTCCCCCCTCTCCTTCTCCTCACCCTCCTTCCCCCCTCCTCCCCCTCCTCTCCTCTCTTTAATTGTAAGGGCTTCGCCCACTCATCCCTCATCCTCGCAATCTTCCACATCTCTCCTCTTGCTGCATCCTCCTCCCTCCCTACCCTCCCTCCTCGCGTGGTGCCCTATTCTCGCCGTGTGGGGGTCAATCGCCGTGGATCGCCGAACCCTCCCAGTAGCCGAGTGCTGGTCCCCCGGCAACCTGCCGTCCCGTGAGAGCGACATCGTAAGACAAGCGCCCGCGGCGGCGACGGCAAGAGTTGGCGGCGAGCGCGGGAGGGAAGTGAAAAGGAGCGGGTCTTCTCAGAAGGCTCGGAAGTCCCTTGGCCTTCTGAGAAGTGTTCTAAGGCTTCTCCAGAGACACCAAACACTTCTCAGAAGGCGCGAGGGCTTCTGAGAAGTCCCGCCGCCTTCTGAGAAGGCCTGCTCCTTCTCACTTCACCCCTCGCTCGCCGCCAATAGAGAGCCCACCTGCCCCCGCCGAAGAACACCAGATGACGACACGCAAAAAGGCACCTGTGCACCACCACCGTTCTTTGCCTGAGCTGCCCTGGCCCCTGGCGCACATTGTACAGCCGGGCCAGGGACAGCAACACATCCCTCAAGCACACGAGACCCGCCGCCAGCCAAACCGAAGAGCCTTCGAGGGTACCTTCCGAGCCCCCAGGATGCACGAGAACAGCCATCAAGCACGAAAAACAGTAGGGTACCTTCCCCGAACCGACCTCGATCGTATGCCTCGGTCCGACCGTATACGGTGTGAACGTCTGCGTAGAGCTTTGCGGCGGCGGCCCCAGCGGCACGCTGTGCGCTGATAACCACTGGCGTCTCGCTCCTCGTCGCGGGGCGGGAGGCCGGGGGCTCCGGGAAAGGCTCCTGACGTTGACGCTGGTAATTGAAGGGGCCCTGGGACACACAGAAATAAATACACACAAATAACAGGATCCCCCACAGTTTCCCATATGTTCTGGGTTTTTGTCTTCCCCCCCACTTCCCATATTTTCCTGGGGATCGTCGATTCATTGTGTCTGTGTGTGTTTTTTCCCCTCCTGATGGTCATTGGGAGGTGGCCAGCGCAGCGTGCCAGGGCGCGGTGGGCCAGAGCCTGCGGCGCGACACGCCTTGACCCGCTCCCGTCCACCCCGACTGGCCGAGCCTGGCCCCCTTCCTGGCCGATCTTCGCTGCGTGGCTCAACACTCCTCCTCCTCCCCCTCCTCCTCCCCCTCCTCCTCCTCCTCCGCCTCCTTCTCCTCCTCCTCCGCCTCCTCCTCCTCCTCCTCCTCCTTCGAGTGCCCGCCCACAGCACTTGACCTTCAAGACCCGATGAGAGAGAACTTTAAAAACACACACGGCTGTCCATAGTATGTTCTTCTTATAATCCCCGCCCGCATAAACACAGGAGACAACGGACACGGAACAAGAAGATCGAAACATTCTCGCCGTGGCGACGTCGGCTCCTGTTCGAGTCTCGACGCCGCGCGACCCGTCGATATCGCCATTGAGCGGCCCCCGCTCCCGAAAGGTCGGCGGGCCGACCCCCGGGGGGGATGCCCGCAGGCGGTCCGCTCGGCCGCCTCGGGGCAGAGGCGCGCGCGCGCCCGCAGCGGCAGGCGTGGCCAGGGCGCTGGCCAGGACGGCTGCTGCTGCTGCCGCTGCCGCTGCCGCCGCCGCTGCCGCTGCCGTCGCTGCTCGCCCACGTGGGGCTCGAGATGTGCGGGTATTGTCGCACCGCCGGACCTGGGACAGAGGAAGGTCCCTCAGGAATCTGAGACCCCCCCCCCCGGCCAAGACGCCCCAAGCCAGAAGACCACTCGAGGGCACTCTCTCCCCCAGGGTGCGCAAGAACACCCAACAAGCACGAAGAACCCTAGGGTCCTTCGCCCGAGCCGACCTCGATCTCACATCGGTCCGCCCGTACAGTGGGGGCGTTGACCTAAGGAACCCTAAATAAGGAACGAGGCCCATTTTTTCCATAAGTTAAACTGCGATTTCCTATCGAAAACAAAAGGAAAACCTGAGGCAAGCTGTGAAACACTTAAGGAACGCGGAGCCCCTCCCCAACCAAAAGGGTTCCTTCTTCAGGGCCCCGCCCGTAAGTTACCAGCGGTTGTCCAGCCTCGGGGCGCCTTCCGGCCGCTGCCCAGTCGACCCGCAGAAGAAGGCTCCATCCCCCGACGGCGGGCCCTCCGGGCCGAGGCCAGGCGCGCCCGTGATAGCAGCGGCCCGATGGCCCTTTGGCCAGACACGGCGGGGGCGCACGGCGCCGTCCTCTGCGAAGCCGAGGGGGGGGGGATGCCGCTTCGGACTGCACACGCGGGGCACCGCAGCTGCCCCGGGGCGGGCGGCGTCACCTGCGCGGGGCGGACGACCTCATGATCGTCATCGGCACCAGCGTTGCCATCCTCATCGGCATCATCAGCATCGCAGTCCTCAACCTCACCGTCCTGACCATCATGGTCACCAGCACCATAAGCATCACACGCAACTCACCATCACCAGCACTATCATCACCAGCATCACCATCAGCGTCCTCAACATCACCATGTACCATCACCACCACCATCAACACGATCAGCATCGTGCTCCCGCACTCCGCGCCGGCGTGCAGCCGTCTCCAGGCGAGCGCGCGGCGCGTGCGGACCGAAAGCAGGCTGAGGCCGCCGCCGCGGCCCCCGCCGCGCGGCGCCCTCGGGTGGCCACGTCCGACAGAAGCACCCCGACGGCCGACGGGAGGCCGCAGCAGCACCACAGGCAAGCCGCAGGAGTGTGGAGAGAGGGTGGGGGCCGAGGAGCTGCGCATGCCTGCGACTGCGGAGGAGGCAGGGAGAATGGGAGGAGCACTCTCCCGCACTCCGCGCCGGCGAGCGGTCGTCTCGGAGAAGACGCGCGGCGCGTGCGCGGCGGACCGAGAGCAGGCCGGGCCGCCGCGGCCCGCCGCGCGGCGTCCTCAGGTGGCCACGTCCGTGCTGCACTAAGACAAGACCACGGATCCCGGACAACCCCTTGGACAACCCAGCGGGGATCCGGACAACCCCGACCCCGCCGGACAACCCCCCTTGGACAACCCTCCCAAGGATTTTTTTCCATAAGATATAGTAGACGGCCGACAGGAGGCCGTAGCAGCCATAACCAGGCTCAAAGCCCTTGCGAAGGGACATAGCTTTGGCGGGCGGCCGCGAGTCGAACGGAAGCAGCGAGGCAGGCAGCCCGAGCGCGAGCGGGCTCGGGGAGGGCAGCAGGGACAGACGAGGCCGCAGCTGCTCGCCGAACACGCTCCGCACGGGATGCCTGACGCCAGCGACTGCGCCAGAAGACGCGCGGGAGCCCTTCGGTCGCGGTGTGGAAGTCGGTTGCGCCAGAGCTGCGATGCCAAACGGAGCCCGAGTGAAACCCCGCGGGGGCTCGGGCGAGCGGCGCGCTTAGCTCACTCAAGAGAGGGCCCCGCCGAGTACGGACGCCGCTGCGACCGGAGGTCGTTGGCGGACGGGCAGGCCCCAACCCTCCGCCAGAAGCGCCCTCCATGGGAGGTGCTGCGACTGCGCGCCCAGAATGGCGCGAGCAAAAACGCGATGTCGAAAACTGAACTCGCAAAGCCACAGTCCGAAGATGGCAAGGAACCGAGCGAGCAGGTTCCCGCCGCAGGAAAGGGCGGCAGGGGCCACCCCCGATTGCCCCGCCACCCAAAGCTCGAGTGCATCAAGCGATTGAGCGCGTCGCTCAGCCCTGGCGGGAGAAACGTGGGACTCGTCGAGGGCGCCCGGGCCGGGCTCGCGGCGGGCGACGCCTCCGGCCGCGACCGCGGGCAAAGGCGCAGCGGGGAAGCGCGCATCCGCCGATGCTGCGCCAGCAGTGGGCGCAAGGGCCGCACGGCCTCTGCGCCTGCGCGGGGCAGCCGCGGCGGCGGCGGGGCCTCCATCCTGCGGCGCCGAGCCGGGGCCCGCAGCCGCGGGGCAGCAGAGGCTCCAAAGGTAGCCTCGGCCACCCCCGCGGCCAAGTCTGGATGAGACGCGGGAGGGCCCCAACGAACCCCGAGCGACCGCGGCAGGCCGCGGTGGCTCGAGCGAGCCACGCCGCTCGCGGGTGACCCAACGCACGCAGCAGAAGCTCCATGGGTAGCCTCCGCCATCACCGAAGCCACGTCCGGCGGGGACGCGGGAGGGCCCCCACAATCCCCCGGGCGACCGCGGCAGGTCGCGATGGCTCGAGCGAACCACGCCACTCGCATGAACCCCTGCGCGCGCAGCGGAGGCTCTCCAGGTAACATTCCAAATCGCAGGAGCTGAACCTGGCAGGGGCGCGGGGGGATCCCCCCATACCCCGAGCGACCGCAGCAGGTCGCGATCGCCTGAGCAAGCCACCGACGCGACTGCAGCAGGCAGCGCGACAATCGCCGCATCGTTGCTCGGCGGGGGCGGCCAGGGCGCGGGGTGATCCCCCCGCAGCCCGAGCGACCGCAGCACATCGCGAGGGCTCGACAGAGCAGCGCCGCTCGCAAGGGCACCCCTCGGGGGCGAAGGGAACCTCCGCAAGAGCGGGAACGACGCGGGCCCTGGGGGCGCGGCCCACAACCAAATAGCACTGGTGGGCAGCGCAAGCCCTGCCGCATCAGAGGCCGCGCAGGGGGCGAACAGGCGCGGCTGCAATGGCGGCTCCAGCCGTGGAGGGGGCCGGAAGCTGGCGGGCGAAGGCGAGGCAGCCTTGGGACTGCCCCGTGGCGGGGTGCCCAGAGCAGTCGCGATGCCTGCAGCCGCGCCGCGCGGGCCGCGACGACGGCCGCGCCGCGGACGCTTGCGAGGAGGCACAGCGTCGACCGACCTTGCTGTAGCACGCGCAGATTTGTGCGGGGCCGTAGCAGCATCGCTGGACTGCACTACGCCAACGGCAAAGGTTATGTTGCTCCCACTGTACTCAAGGACCAGATCCCAGAAATAATTTCGAGCACCCGGAAAAGTGTCGAAAGAGTGTCGAAACAGTGTCAGACGAGTGTCTCCCAGGGCCCGACACGTGAACACCCTCGAGTTTGGGTACTTGTTTGGTGCTCGAAAGTCTTTCTGGTGGTCAAGGCTAAAGTAGGTTGGAACATCATAAGGCAAAGGGCGACCGAGACACCTCACCCGCAGGCGACGCAGCCACTACATCGCTGGGGCGCACCGTGCCCAGCGACGGGGCAACCGCAGCATCGGACGAAGCCGCAGGGTCGGCGGTGCCCGCGCGGGAGCTGCGTCGCACGACGACGCAGGTGAGCCGAGGCGAAGCAGCGACGGGAGGGGAGGGGGTGGAGAGGAGGTGGAGGGTTGAGAGGGTCCACCCACTCCGACTCCTCCATCCCGAGCACAATTGTCTTCGCGCCGTCGGCTCCGCTGCCTGTCGCAAAGCGGCCGACGGAACCGAGAGGCGGCGCAGCGGAAGCGGGCGCCTCGCCCTGCGAGGCGGCTCGTCCGCGCTGCGGGGGAGCTCGAGCGACGGATGCGGCGCGAGGGGCGTCTCCGTCGCGGCGGCCGGGACTCTGGGACTCTCGGGGGGGCGAGCGCAGGAGCTGCGCGCAGCAGCGCGTCGAGCGTCCGCGGCGCGGGCTCACCCTGCGCCGAGGTGCAAGGCGAGGCGCATCGGCGTGCGAGCTCCCCTTCCTGCTCCTCTCCTCCGACGGGCCTTCTGCATTTCCGTCCCAGGTTGAAGGGGCCCTGAGACACACAAATAAATACACACAAATAGAAGTATTCGCCATATTTCCCCATATTTTCTGTGTTTTTGTCTTCCCCCCCACTTCCCATAGTTTCCCATATTTTCAGGGGAATCGACGCTTCATTGTGTCTTTCCCCTCCCGACAGGTGCCAGCGGGGGGGGAAGGCGGAAGAGGAGGTCAGAGGAGTTTGGCACCGTCGAGAGCGAGGCGGGCGCCAAGAGCCGCCTGCCCGAGGGGTCGGGGCGACCCGAGGGCCGCCTCGCGGCCATCAGCGCGAAGGGCCCGAGAGCCTGCCGGGCCCTGCAGGCCACGACAGGCAGGGGGGCCGCAAGGCCCTCCTGCCGCCCGGACGGCCGCGGCCCTGTGCGGACCGTGGGCCACCGCGCCGGCTCGGGACGGGCGGGGCACAGGGGGCAGCCCCGACCGATCCCGAGACCGCGAGTGGAAAGCGGCCCGAGAGCAGGGCGCAGAGCGGCCTGCGCGGCGACGGCACCGCGAGCCCCTGGCGCCCCAGCCGCGCGCGCGCGGAGGGAGAGCGGGGGGCAGGTTTGGGGCCGAGAAGCTGCGTACGCCTGCGACTGCACAGGAGGCAAGGAGAACAGAAGAAGCATCATCATCATCACCATCATCAGCATCAGCATTATCAGTAGCAGTAACATCATTATCAGCATGGCCATCACCACCACCTGTATCACCATCGCCACCACCATGACCACCACCACCACCAACAATAACATCATCAGCATCACCACCATCAACGTCAGCATCAACATAACCAGTACTTCAACAATCACATAATAACATCGCCATCAGCATTCTCATACGCATGACGATCATCATCGCCTTCATCATTTTATCGGGGGAGCAGGCATGAGAAGGACCTGCAGATACCCTCGCGCCGTGGACAAAAACATGACGAAAGGCGTTTGGCCATTGCGGCCTCTGGGGACCCGTTCTGGGCCCTGGCACCATCAAACAACGACTCTGGATGAAAAAACGGTGTCGCGACGTCTCCGCGGGGGCCATGGCATGCTCAAAACACGGCGTCGGAGATCCAGAAGGGGGGAGGGGGGAGGGGGGGAGGGGGAGGGGGCGGTAAAAAGGTAGAACGAAAAGAGATTGGGACCACAAACAAACAACAACAATCATCCAGGTGAAGGGCCCAGGCATGTGCAAGCGCGAGTACGGCAAAGCAGGTGGAACGAAGGTGGGGTGACGAAACGTGTGAGGGGTGTGCCGAAATGGGCGGGGTGACGCCATGCGGGTGCTGCCACGACGGCCTTCGGTGGACCTCCCTGTTGGGCGTGCGAGGGGTGTTCCAAAATGAAAATGGGCGGGGTGACGCCATGCGGGCGCTGCCACTACGGCCTTCGGTGGAGCTCCCAGTGGGGCTACGAAGCGTGTGAGAGGTGTGCCAAAAAGAAGCGGCGGGGCCATGCGAACCCTGGCAATTAAACCTCAGTTGAAGCTCCCTATGGGGCCACGGAGCGTGTGAGGCGTGTGCCGCAAGGAGGCGGCGGGGCCATGCCAACTCTGGCAAGTGGGCCTTAGTTGGAGCTCCCTATGGGACCACGAAGCGGGTGAGGGGTGTGCCGAAACGAGGCGGCGGGGCTATTCGAACCCTAGCATGTGGGCCTGAGCTGGAGCTCCCGATGGTTTCGCGAAGCG